CTCCCCCTTTCCTCCAAGTCCTCCTCCCCTTTCCTCAAGTCCTCCTCCCCTTTCCTCAGAAGTCCTCCTCCCCTTTCCTCAGTCCTCCTCCCCTTTCCCTCCAGAGTCCTCCTCCCCTTTCCTCCGTCCTCTCCCCCTTTCCTCAAGTCCTCTCCCCCTTTCCTCCACAGTCCTTCTCCCCTTTCCTCAAGTCCTCTCCCCCTTTCCTCAAGTCCTTCTCCCCTTTCCTCAAGTCCTCTCCCCCCTTTCCTCAAGTCCTCCTCCTTTCCTCAGTCCTCTCCCCTTTCCTCAAGTCCTCTCCCCCCCTTTCCTCCAAGTCCTCCTCCCCTTTTCCTCTAGTCCTCTCCCCCTTTCCTCCAAGTTCTCCTCCTTTCCTCCAAGTCCTCTCCCCCTTTCCTCAAGTCCTCCTCCCCTTTCCTAAAGTCCTCCTCCCTTTCCTTCCTCCCTACCCCTCCATCACTCCCTCATACAGCTAGTGACCACGTCCCTCCCTCTCCCTAATCACCTCTTAAGATGCCTGGTTCGTCTCCTTCAAGTATATCATTAACTCGGTAAGAAGTTTCCCAAGTTCTCTTAAGTCGAGATAACTAGTAGCTTTCACTATCTCTACCGGCTGAGGGACTTGTAGGAGAGTGTGTGATAGTAGTTGCACTTTAAGATGGTATTTGAGTTTACCCTTTTCGTGCTCAATAATGTGTTTCGGGGGTCACTGTTGTTGATGTGTATGACCTTTCTTGAGTACAATGACCTGATCTTTCTTGTGTACGATGACCGGTGACTACGATAACCAGTGAATATGATGACTGGACTTTTCTTGAGTATGATGAACTGACCTTTCACGAGTACATTATTCACACAACAGATTTTAATCTCTTCCCGGAAATTGGTCAAGATTATCAACCATTGTGTTACAACCTAACCTAACCTAACCTAACCTAACCTAGTCCCAACCCTAATAATTGGTGCTTATAGACCAGCCAGCGGAGTAAAGACCAGCCAATCAGAAGACTAACGACTGGTCAGGGTCAAAGACAATACCTCTCTCTCTCTCTCTCTCTCTCTCTCTCTCTCTCTCTCTCTCTCTTTCCTGTCCATTTAACGTATTAACAAACTCTAATGACACGAATACCCCCATTAAAAGAGTATTAATTGGGTAATGGGTAGTGGGTAGGGGGTAGGGGGTGTTTATATGAGGGGGGAGGGAGGGGTTAGGGGGTGTGCTATAGTGGGGGGGTGGGGTAGGGGTGTACTTGTGATTAATTACAGGAAGCCACATAATAGAATCTGTGGTTGTGTGAAAGAGAAATCCTCAAACAATTTCTCCACATATTTACACTCCTTCAAGACCTTCAATTAAGTAAAAGACATACATACACTCACTCACTCTCTCACTCACTCACTCACTCACTCACTCGCTCACTCTCATTCTCACGATAGACTCACAAGCCATTATCTCTCACAAGCTCAGAATACACTTGAGGGATGCTGAGATAATCTTTTCTTTCAGTGGTTCTATGTAAAGGCGTCTATCGCTATGTTATTTTATCTCTCTCTCTCTCTCTCTCTCTCTCTCTTGGCCTTCCTCGTGGCAGCAGCAGTATTACGACAGTGTGTGTGTGTGTGTGTGTGTGTGTGTGTGTGTGTGTGTGTGTGTGTATTTATGTGTTTATGTACGTGTGTGTATGTACTTGGCAGATCTGTAGGTAGAGGCCAGTACCTCCACACATAACTTTAACCAATCATCTCCCTTTTTCAGGTGGTGGTGGCGACGCTCCTGGTGGGGAGGTCGTCAGCTGGTGTCCTTCCTGTGTCACTCTCGGAGTATCAGGACTTGCCGCGACTCTCCACCTTCCAGGATGTCCACCACCAAGTGTCCCACAACCCTGACGGCACCTACCACTTCTCCTTCTCCCTCCCTCAGCAGTCCAGGGCGGAGGAGAGGGACGCCGACGGCAAGGTGGGTCACGGTGGGTCAAGGTGGATCAAAGTGGGTCAGGGTAGGAAGAGAGAGAGAGAGAGAAAAATGATAGAGAGAGAAAGAAAAAAGTTGTTATGCCCTCTTAATAATTACTGTAAATACTCTCGTCTTTGAACTTACAACATTGACCTTAGATGACCTTTGAACTCCATACGTCCCATCTTCAGGTCACTGGTTCCTTCGCCTTCGTGGACCCTGTCGGTAAGGAAGTGTCTGTCCGGTATGACGCTGATGACGAAGGCTTCCGTCCAGAGAGCGATGCCCTCCCTCAGGTTAGTAACTCAGTGTGTGTGTGTGTGTGTGTGTGTGTGTGTGTGTGTGCAATGACCCCTCACTTACATACACTAGTTAAATGGGATTTATTGGAATTGGGATCAATTAGGACGTGAACCTATTGAGAATGGGCCTATTAGAAATTGGATATAACAGGACTTAGATCTATCAAAATAAGGACCTATGGGAATGGGACCTATTAGAACTAGAACCCACTAGGACTGGATCCTATTAGAACTAGAACCTATTAGACCTAGGAACTATTCAAATTTGGACCTATTAGAATTGGGACCTATCAGAACTGAGCCTTATTAGAACTGGGACATATAAGGAGGGAGGTCTCTTAGTACAGGGCCTTATTAGGGGTTGGGGTCTACTGGGAATGGGGCCTATTAGAACTTGGACCTATTGAAATTGGTACCTATTAGAACTGGAGCCTACTATGACTGGGATCTACTAGGATTAGGGTCTACTAGGAAATAAGGTCTACTAGCAACTAAGGTCCACTAGAAACTGAGGTTTAACTAGGACTGGGGCCTACTAGGAACTGAAATTTACTAGGAACTAAGATCTACTAGGAGGAAACTAGGATGTACAAGAACTAGGACCCATCTGACCTATCCTTCTCCTGCCCCTCCTACAGCCAATCCAGGACACAGCGGACGTGATCAAGGCCAGACAAGAGTTCCTGCAGTACTACGAAGATACAGCCAACTACCTGAAGGTGCTGGCCTCTGCCCTTGATGGTGATGAAGAGGAATCTGATGAATCTGACGAGGATGATGATGATAGTGATGATGATGAATCTGACGAGGATGATGATGATAGTGATGATGATGATAGTGATAGTGATGATGATGATAGTGATAGTGATGATGATGATAGTGATAGTGATGATGATGATAGTGATAGTGATGATGATTCAAGTTCTGAGGAAGATGAAGACAGTGACGAAGACGATGAAGAAGACGATGAAGAAGAAGATGAAGAAGACGAAGAGAATGAAAAAGAAGTAGAAGAAGAAAAAGAAGAAGAAGAAGAAGAAGAAGGGGGAGAAGAAGAAGCGAAAGAAAAAGATTTCATGATCATTATTCCTAGAATGCAGTCACAGAAGTCCTCCCGAGTTTCCCCCATCAGGAGGAACCGACAGAAAACAATCAACAGGGTCCTCGCGTCGACGCCTCACACCCCAAGAAGATATTACTTCGGCAGGCGGTTCTCCACCTTCAGGCAGTAACACCCGCACACGTCTCCTGAAGGCGTGTCTTGGCGAGGTCCAGTTAGGTATGTCTCGTTTGGTTACAGGTCAGATGGGTCCAGTGATTAGGGGCCTCAGAGTTAACTAGACATTACGATTGGGCCCCAGTCTTAATAGGCCCCAATTTTACAGGGTCCCCCAATAACCTGATATAACTATAATGATCTTCAGCCCATTATAGCCATGGTTCATTAGGACATGGACCCATTAGGAGTGGGGCCTATTAGACCTAGGGCTCATTCCTTCCTTCCAAAGTCAACTAATTCCCTTCTTCAATTAAGCTTCAACGCATAGCATATATTTTTGCAGTTCAGATTCACAACACTGTATACAATCTAATATATTTTTTCTAATATATAATCTCATATTTTATATCGATAGTTATAGTTTGATGTTTAGATAGAAAAAAAAACTTTTGATGAGAGGAGAGAGATAATGATGATTGGTAAAGATTAGGAACAGGAAGAAACGCAAATAAGGTAGAGAGATACAAAGAGAATAACTATCAATTAAAATACATATAAATAAAAAATATATGTAGATTAAATTGTAAATAAATGAAAATGCGACCATTAGTAAATAAAAAAAATACTAAATAAAAATATAAAAATAAAGATTATTAAAAACAAATAAAACAATAGAACTGAAAAAACTAGGAATAAAACGAATAAAAATATAAATAAAATAAAGCAACAAATATGGCAATATTACCATATGGCAACACCGATGTAAACAAAGATGCATTCACGATCGCGAGAATTATTTATCAATGAAGTCTTATAATTTATGTTTATTCCCGCGTATGTTATTATCTACACTGTGGCATGATATTAATAGCATTATTTAATTAATTTCCATAAGCATTATTTCCTGTATTTTATTAGGAGAGTAAATTACTTTATTTTGTATCAATATATTTTTTAATACATTTGTAAACTGCTTTTTTTGTAATTAATATATTTTTATATATTTGTAAATGGCTTTATTTTGTATTTAGATATATACATTTATACTTTTATATATTTTGTACTGATAAATGACGTGATTTAATGTCTATACGAATTTTTATATTTTATACGTATATTATAATATCTTCTACTTATATATTTTTCTAATTATCCTCCTGTATGATGGATATATTTTTGTATATCAAATTTGTATTTTTATATATGAGTGAAATATGAAAAACTGTATTATTTATTACGTATTTTCTTTAAGTACTTCTTAAGGTGGGATATATTTCTCAAGATGGGGGTATAGGACTCCAGCCAATCATATCCTTGGTTGACTACAAAAAATTCACTCATTGGTTGGGAATGTTGTACTGATGATCTCATAAGAAACTTTATAACTGAACACTAGTGATAGCCTCTCCTGGCCAATGATTACATCGTCTTTAACACATCCAGGGATATAATTGGCTGTTACTTGAGCCCTGTTGACTTATCTTACAACTTTAAACACATTTACATCAATAATAAAACTCAGAACAATAATATGGACCATTTTATTCATAAGACAACGGAGTAATTAAAAGTTAACACACATATATAAAATAAATAACTATGGCACAACATCAACACAGTATAAAAAGATTATCTATTGTAAAAAATATATATGTAAAAAAGACTTATTGTATAGAATGATATGGGAAAATATTGAAGTAAAGCGGACTGTAGGTTTATAGCTAAATGGTGTAAGCTATTTGAGCATAAGAATGGAGATATATCTGTCTGTGTATCTCTGTCTGTGTCTGTCTGATAGGTTGGGGATTTAGAAGAGAGACTGAGAGATAATTGTTGAGTGGAGAGAGATATTAAGAGATCTCAAAAGCCTCCTTGTTGATAGAGACAGAGAGACAACAACTACCTGGAGAGACAATAAAGACCCTCTTACTACCCATAGAGAGAGACTAAGAGACAGAGAGACTCAGCTACCCGGAGAGAGAGACACACACCAAGGGTCTCTACTGGGTATTGGTGAACACTCGGTTGCCGAAGAAAGTATCAGCATTGTAAGGGAAAAACACACTGTTGGTTGCCAGTTGTTGGGGCACTGCTACCGGGGCATCAATCCTCTCTCTTCCTCCTTCTTCCTCTTCATCACTTTCATCACTTTCATCACTTTCATCACTTTCATCACTTTCATCACTTTCATCACTATCATCTTCTTCTGAACTTGAATCTTCATCATCGTCATCTTCGTCGGATTCCTCTGAGGATTCCTCGTCTTCGTCAGATGCTAATTCCTTCAGGAACTTGGCCGTCTGCTCGTAGTACCTCAAGAACTCCTCCTTGGCCCTGGCGACGTCCTCGGTGTCTTCAGGAGCCTAGGGGAGGTGAGGGGAGGGGTCAGGGGTCGCCAGGAGACCAAAGGAACTAGCTAGTGATTAAGTTAACATGTCCTAACTAGTGTTCTAACTAGTAGGAGAATCTAATTAATTATAACCCCAAGAGAACTAATTAGTCTTGATATTAACCTGTACTAATTAGTGTTTTTAACTAGTATAGGTAAGTGAGGGGTCATTGCACACACACACACACACGCTGAGTTACTAACCTGAGGGAGGGCATCGCTCTCTGGACGGAAGCCTTCGTCATCAGCGTCATAGCGAACAGACACTTCCTTACCGATAGGGTCCACGAAGGCGAAGGAGCCAGTGACCTGAAGATGGGACGTATAGGGTTCAAAGGTCATCTAAGGTCAAATGAGTGAACTTATTGAGTGGTGAAGTTAGTGTCTGATTGTATTGATTTTTCGGGCTGTTTTTTTTTTTGATAGAGAAGAAGAAGAAGAAGAAGAAACGTAAAATTGTTAAAAACCACTCTGACCCACCGTGTTACCCACCGTATGACCCACCCTCTACAACCCACCCTGGCCCACTTTGACCCACCGTGACCCACCTTGCCGTCGGCGTCCCTCTCCTCCGCCCTGGACTGCTGAGGGAGGGAGAAGGAGAAGTGGTAGGTGCCGTCAGGGTTGTGGGACACTTGGTGGTGGACATCCTGGAAGGTGGAGAGTCGCGGCAAGTCCTGATACTCCGAGTGTGACACAGGAAGGACACCAGCTGACGACCTCCCCACCAGGAGCGTCGCCACCACCACCTGAAGAAGGGAGATGATTGGTTAAAGTTATGTGTGGAGGTACTGGGTCTCTCTCTCTCTCTCTCTCTCTCTCTCTCTCTCTATCTCTCAACAGTTACAGTGTGATCGAGTAACCAAACCACTTTCCTTCACTGTCTCAGGTACCCATTTACAGCTGGGTCGACAAGGAGGTGATGGGATTTATAGGGTTATTATTTTTATAAGAATTCATATATTTTTTCTCATGTTTTTTTCATCAGTGTCAAGGTTAATTATGATTGAATTCAAGTCTATAGTAGTGGATGGCTTCACACACACACACACACACACACACACACGCACACACACACACACACACACACCACACACACACACACACACACACACACACACACACACACACACACACGCACTTTATAAATAAATATCAATATATCTAATACACTTATAATTACAGTATATAAATTTTCCTTGTATAAAAAAGAAAAGAAAAAACCCCAAAGCCAAAAAACAGTGTCACCATCTCACCATAAGCGCAGCACGGATCACTACACACACCATCGTTGAAATCTTGTAAGTGTAGGGAAGTAGAAGAGCCTCCAGACCACAGCTGTAGACCGTGCACAACCTCTCGTAGTCCTCTTAAGATGACAACTCTACAGGTGACGGAGCGGCCGG